CATGTGATTCAATCCGGGAGTGGAATCAGGAGCTCTAGAATCTGACCATAACCAGCTCAATACTTTAAAATTAACTCAAACTGCATTAGTTACAAGGAAACTGTGTGTGTGTTATTAGTAGTCTTATCTGATAGGCGAGGAAAGCAGGTACATACATTAACAGATACGAGAAGCAGGCAAACCTAGACCTCTGAACATCTGTCCCATATTTCACTGCTCCTTTATTGCTACAGGAACCTCTTCCTTTAAGGAAACGCTAACTAGATTGGTTTAAGCCTATAGAAGAAACAAAGGAGACACTAATCCACTTTGTTTATCTGAAGCATAAAAATTAAAAATAAATGCATACTGGAGTCACCTGGCAGTAAAGGAGAGCCTTAATGTTCATCTCTGTTAGACAACATAAATAAGAAATGGAAAGGAAAAGAAGAAACAAAAGGAAAAAAGAAAAGAGGAATGTTCTGTTCTCAGGGAAGATTTATACTCTAGAGTCAGGAAAGACATAAAAGTAAAATTAACTTCTGGATAAGAAATATGATTCTATATATCTTAGTACTTTAATATCCATCTTTCCAAACCTGAGACCTTTTTCACAAAAAAGTGTTCAACTTGGTCTTTGAAAAATTTTCTTGCAGTAATTCATCATCATTTTATATTATAGAAAGGCGTTTGGGAAAAAGGATTCACTTAGAGAAAAGTTGCTTTGCATCTGTCAGAGACAATTAAATGGTAATAGTGTTAGTGATCCCAAGTTATGCAGTCAGCTACATGTTGATGCCCCTTAATGTGATATATAGTCCATGCTCTTTGGAGTATAGAACCAGAGTTACAGCAGTGTTCTGAGGGCTGTGCAAACATGGACAGGAGTGTGGGACACATTCAGAAAAAACCCTCTTAATATTTATAGGAAAACAAATATGGTTATATTATAGACTACAATGCAAATGCTTTTGAGTTTAAAGACTAAACGAAATGCTACAGTGCTGGAATTTTGATGCGCGTGGCAGGCTGTGTCAGATTACTCCCAGGTGTTTGAGTTGTGTACCTTCATTCTTCTCTGTCACTTTGGGGAGAAGTCTTACAGGACTGATATCATCTTGAGTGGTGAGAGAAAAGAGAACAGTATCTCTCTAAAAATGTGTCCATCAGCAACATTGATGAGAAGATAGGGCATTGTTGGGCTTTGCATTCATGGATTTTTGTTTTGTTTTGTTTAAGGAACATCAACACACATTAACACGTTAAGTGCCAAGTCTGTTTTGTCTTCCTTTCCGTTTAGCCCGTGATATCTGATTTCATCGATAGGCTGGCGGCCGGAGACTGACAAGGTCCAAACAGAAAGTATAGTGTCAGTCACTGGTGACTGACATGGTGCTTAATGTGTTAAGAGAAAACCCAGGCTTAAAAGCAAAGCAGAGAGAGTATAAAGTAGAAATATGAAAATTCAGGAGAACATGAATCACATGTAATTATGAAGGCCAATTATTGTTAAGATGTATACTGACTGGAAATATTTTATAACTTAAAAAGTGTTTAGAAAGAATAGGTACTCAATACATGATGGATATTAGAATCAATTAAATATGCTTCCTAGAGACACACAGATGTTACCATTACACAACTGTGTAGAGCTCTTCCCAGGAGAGAAGGGGGTAAAACTCCCAGTCATCACCCATCCTGGACTTTCAGGGGAAGTCCAGACTGTACATGTTCAAAATATTGGATCACAGACATACAGCAGGTACTCAAATAAAATCATTTTGTTCAATGTCATTTTGTTATAAATTAATGAGATGCTGTAGGAGCTTAACTCTTGTTTATATCAGTTAGCCTACAGTAAAATTGGTTTTGTTATACATCATTTTGCCTAAAGTCACAACCTACCAACAATGTTAAGTGAGGATGTACTGTATTTAATTGTGGGATTTCAAACTCTACTTTTCATTTTTTTTATTTCTCTCTATCTGTATGTATATATTTATGGAAGAGTCTATGAGCTGACTTCTTAGGCAAGTCTGAATAATCATACACCAAGATTTTCTAAAGGGCAAGTATACCACTCAGCAGTCCTGTGATGAGAGGTGTTCATAAGGACAGATGAGGGCTTTGTCAGCACACCTGTCACAAGGAGAGCTCTGCCTGTTGTCAGCCAGGTGCCCACCTGAGGGGAATGGAAACTTGCACCCATTGTTTTAATTGGATGCTGGCAGAAAAGGTAACATGAAACCCAGGAAGGCATACCTGAATGTGTTTTTATTATGAAAGACACAAAAAGGTTTTACATGTAATTTTCCTTCCAAGAAGGATCTTTGTTTTCTTGAAATAGTGATATTGAGGCTTAGACTGATCTGACCTTTGGCATGGCAAGTGCTGGCTGAAGTGGTGATGGCTCTTCAGCTGCTTCGTGTCTCCCAGGTTGTGTACAAGTCAGTCCTAAATAGCTAGACAGCCCTCCTACCTCTGGTGGTACCAGCAAAGCAGGGCTGCAGGGCTTGAGTCAGAAAATCACACATCCCAGTCCCAGCTCAGTAATGCCCAGTGTGTGACTTTGGGGAAAGCTCACGCTCCTGAGGTAGCTTAGTCTTGCCAGGTCCCCTGACAAGTGGGGTTAAAAATAGAACCTACCTTATAGAATTGTTTTGAGGGCGGGGAAAAGAGACATAATAGGGAAGGTACTTAGGACAGTTTCTAATATGTGATAAATAATTAAATGTCAATTGCCATTATTGTTGCTGTTATTCATTAAAATTTAAGGCTCATGAGTAGCCTTTAAGTAGGATGATATAGAACAGCAGTTCTCAACCTGTGGGTCGCGACCCCTTTGGTGGTCGAACGACCCTTTCACAGGGGTCGCCTAAGGCCATCCTGCACATCAGATATTTACATTATGATTCATAACAGTAGCAACATTACAGTTATGAAGTAGCAACGAAAATAATTTTATGGTTGGGTCACAACATGAGGAACTGTATTTAAAGGGCCAGAAGGTTGAGAACCACTGATATAGAACAAAGAAATCAGTTTTCTTCATTCTCCCTTCTAAGCAAACATTCTTGGGCAGTTGGCCCATTCTACAATAGGACTGTTGGTGGCACTCTGTATTTTTAGAGTCATCCAGATGAGTGGCACTCATGGCAGACGTGCTCATGAATGCGAGAATTACATAAGCCTATGGAGATGGAATATGTTTCTGGTTTGGAAAAAAAGCAAATGGCTCTTTGCATTTTCATGACAGTCCATGCTTTACAAAACCCCTTAAGATTAATGATAGGGTATTTCTCCAAAAGTCATAATATGTATTTATAGCAAATTGCAAAAATCCACCATAAATTTAGTACTTCATGGTAGCAAACTGAAAAACGATAGCAAGAGAATAATGCAGTTTCACGTACAGCTAGAGTAAGTATTCTAAAAACAACAAAAGACTGGTCTTTCATCGCAACATGCCCTCCTACTAAAAGAATTCAATCAATGAGTCAATAATATTTAAACTGGCGGGTGACTTGTTTTCCAACATGGGGGCAATATGTAACAATGAACCAAGAGCTGCACAGATGTAGCTGTGATCCTGCAAACTGAGAAATGATTTTATTGGAGGAAAATAGGAGTCATTTAATCACTAAGAAAACTCTACTCATGGCCACAATAATAATGTGAGTTTGTGTGTGATCTTTCTTGTTCTCACTTGGCTTCCCTAAAACTTCATCACTTTCTGAGTTTTCTTTTCTTTTTAAAATTTATTTCTTAAAGTCCCTATAATAATAAAAGCATAATATGCTAATTAGACTGGACATCCTTCTGGATGAAGCCAGAACTGTGAGGGAAGCCCGGGTCCCGGGTGCCAGAGGGAAGCTGGTGCCGGCAGCCGGGGAAAGAAATGCCTACTCTTGCATGAATTTCGTGCATCAGGCCTCTAGTAGTTTAATTAGACTGGACATCCTTCTGGACAAAGCCGTGGTTGCCGGGGGCCGAGGCAAGGAGCCATGGCTGTGAGGACCGAGACCCTTGCATGAATTTTGTGCATCGGGCCTCTAGTTAGCAATAACAGTACATCAGATGCTACTACTACTAACAATCACTTTGAATGATTGGGGCAGGATCATGTCAGGTAAGGCACGTGGAAAGCTTTCCACAATGTCAGAGGGCTAGTGAAGCTGCTAAGGGGATGTTAGGAGATGTAGCATTGTAGACTGGACATCCTTCTGGATGAAGCCAGAACTGTGAGGGAAGCCCGGGTCCCGGGTGCCAGAGGGAAGCTGGTGCCGGCAGCCGGGGAAAGAAATGCCTACTCTTGCATGAATTTCGTGCATCAGGCCTCTAGTAGTTAGTATACAATCTTATGATGGCTATATTATGTTTCAAGTGTATCATATAGTGATTCTGCTTTTTTATGCCTTACAATGTGACCATATCACTAATTCTAGTAATCATGTGTCACCTTGTAAATTTACCACAATATTATTCACTATATTCCCCTTTCCCTTTGACTATAGTCGCCCATCCCCCATCCCTCCCTCTGGTAATCATCCCTTTGGTCTCTGTTACTATGAGTCTGTTTTTGTTTTGTTTGATTGTTTTTAGATTCCACATGTAGGTGAAATCACACATATTTGTCTTTCTCTGCCTGACTTATTTCACTTAGCATAATACTCTCTAGATCTATCTGAGTTTCCTTTTCTTAATGTACCCTTTTCTCCCTTCCTCTCACCCCATCCATTGCTCAGTAACCCAGGTTATTTACCCAGGTTCTCATTTACAGAAGAACTAAGGAAGCTCAATTGCAAGTACTAAAAGGAAAATTGG